TGAATGAAACAAGTATGACAGGATCAGGAGGTAACAGCACAGCCACCCTGTAGAAATGTTGTGACCAGCTTTCCCAGCTGCATATCGATTATTTCCTCTCTCACTTTGAACGCTTCTGGCTCTATCCCTCTTAGCAAGGGGGTTCAAGGACTTTAAGGCAAACTGACAAAAAAGAGGTTCCCTTTCTCACCTCTTGTAACTCTCTTTTTCCTTATCCCTTGGCAGACAGCAGAAGTTTCCCAGTCCTTCCACTTCCACCCACCTAGCCCAGCTTCACCTAAACCTAGAAGATACATGTATGGCTGTACTTGGGTATGAACCTTCACCATCGTACCCGGTCCCCTTTCCCCATGTATGCTCCTCACTCCAAGTACTGTCTTGGAGTGATACACACCTAATAGCCACGTGCACTGCTGGTTTTGTGCACAACAGCACTGAGGAAATCCGTGAGAGGATGTGAATATACCCAGCTATCTAGTAAGGTTTATTGTATGGAACACATCTATGCTTTTCACTTCGTTCTCCCATTTTATTGTGGGATAGGGATGTGGTGGGAAATTTTCTGCATGACTCTTTTTCAGAAATCTCCCATCTACTTCTCTTGCAGGCAGTGGGAGAGGAGGGAAAAGGCTGTGTTGTGTACCCGGTCCTGCTAGAGACCTTACACTATACAGACGTGCTCCCATGAATTCCACCAAGGAAAGAAAATCACGCCGCAGGGTCAGCTCAGCCCTCAGCCCTCCTCCGTATAAACGGTGCAGAATTACCTGTAAATGGGCAGCTGGTAGTACGGGACTGTGAGAGCTTTTATGAGAAGAAAGATTATTTTGTTTGATCCAAAACTCCCATCAACACGGAACTTTTTAAAGGCATGCATTTGGCCTGAGCTCTCATAATCCAATGTAGTGGCTCGGCTCAGCAGTGGCTTTACAGCAACAGTGTAACACATGCTTACCAAATGGTAAGTGGGGATTTCCAAGACTTCTAACTAATTGCCTGTAGTTTATACTGTAGTTTTGTCCATGATCCCTTTCCAGTACAACCAACCACTGGAACGTTCATCCACAGATTGTTCCTAGCACAGAATTGCCCAATTGTGTGATCGCAGGGGAAAACATTTACATCAGAACAAGTATACATTTGTCTAAAAGAGTATGCAGTTAACTAAGGCACTGGTTTTTTAACCAGGGGTGTGAGGAAGGAACCTCAGTCCTCTTGTATTGGTGAAGTATTATGGGTCCTGATAAAAACCACTAAACTATTATTGTCAAGCATCTGAGTTATAAAATCAGCCCCAACTTGGTCAGCTAGTTACCAGGTGCCAGAAATCCAGATCATCGGCAAAGGCGCTGTTAGAAAGTTCAGGTAAGAATCAACAATAATGTGTGTTTCTGGCCGTCCTGCCTCCCATAGGCTCAGTCATAGCACTGCATGGCAGAGAGACTCCGGCTGAGGGGGAGGAGTGTGTAGTAAGCCCTACATCTGTTGCGGGGAGTCAAGAAGTATTCCGTGGCCTATAGATAGTAGTGGCCTGCGAAGAGGACATGTTCAGACTGGCCATTTATTTCAGGCTGCCTGCTATTGTGGTGGACTGGTTTTGATGCTTCAGGTAATTCCTCTTAGTCTTAGGTTTCTAAAACAGATTAATCTGATTGAAGGAAAGTATCTCATATATAATATGAGATGTAGAAATAAAGAAAGCAGCTGCAGGCTGTCCTCTCTAAAAAAAAAAAAACCCAAGCTATTTCAACCTTTTGATCTAGCCCATATGCTGACGTTGGAAGGGACCTGGATAGGTCAGGGAATACAGAGTATCTTCTAAATAGGGGTGCAGAGTATACGAGAGATAGGCAGGTGTGGGATGTTCTGAGTGCTGAGGCTGGTAGGGTAAGCCTAGGCTGAAAGGGCTTTGGGATCCGAGAGGTGGCCGCAGCTGAGCTGGCAAGCTGTGGGCCTGTGAGCAGGGCTGACTCGGGAAGAAGGCAGGAGAGGGTTGGGATGAGCTTGGAAAGTGGAGAAAACAGAACCGGACATGGTCTTTGGTGAGGTAGGGCTATGTGTTGGAAGTGTAGAGCTGGAAAGCAGAAATTTAGGGTCCTAGCATGAGGACACTTAACGAGTACAGCGCGAGGGTGTGAATGCTGTGGCTCTTGCCATTTGAAAATTACAAAACCCTGCTTCTTGCTCCCTTTCTCTCTCTGAACTCCATATTCACCTTCCTGGGTTTTGACGTCGTTGTTTATCTTCCCGCATTGTGTTCCACTCAGAAGCTCCCCAGCCTCATCTCCCATGGGCTTGATTTCTCACATGCTTCTTTTTGTCTAATACAACCATCTGCAGTGAAACAGCTCAATTCTAAATGCCGACGTTTAACTTGATGTAAGGAGACCTGAGATTCGGCGCCCCACTGTGATAAAAACAAAGGCAAGGCAGAATTCAGACGATAATGGAGAAACAGCACAGCACCTAGTATTTTATTCCGTTTTGATTACTACTTGCTTGCGCAGACCTTTAACGCTTCATTTAGTTAAGTCTTAAAAGGTCGCCTGGAAGGGAAGAGTAAGGTTGTCATAAAGAAGGGAAACCCTGCTTGGCAGTTTTTCAAGCCCGATAAAAGAAACACCCACAATGCATCAGACGGCGTGCTCTACGTAAGAAATGGAAGAATTACTGAAGACATCAGAGCAAATGGAAAAGCAAACAAAATGTATTATGGCGTGAAAGAGAGTTCAGCTGTAAGCATCCTGTTTGCTGAGAGACGTTACACTCCTTCCTCCTCTGAAAAACGCTTTTTGGCATGTGAAACGAAGAACTAGGTTTTACTTTAAAGAAAATGTATCAGTTTGAACTGTTTTCTTGAGCTTTTTCTAGATTCTGTGGTTTATACGCAACTGAACACATGCAGGATGGTGAGGTTTAGGGAAACCGCATTAGCTAGCAGGTGTAAAGTAATTCCATCTTCTTTTTCTGGAATATATCACGTATATAGTCATGCTACGGGTCCACTTCTAATAAGAAGCCTCAGCCCTTTTGCAATCGGTTAGACTCTCAAAGGGAACACATTTCTAGTAAGGTTTGGGGAAAACAGCCGGAAAAGGAGGGACCGCACTCATGTCATTTGGAGAGAGCGATCAAGTGGGAGCTCATGCTAAAAACTTTCAGTAAGCCTTTCTCCTTCGTTGGACGCCTCGGCGACTACAGCTTAGCCGAGGGAACTCCCATACCCATTGGAAACCGCGTTGCATCCCTGCTGCTGCGCAGGGAATTTGCTGTCCACTGTTTTCGCAGGAAGAGAAGGTTCCAGCTTTGCCTGTTCCTATGACGATGTCTTCTAGGAGAGTGGTTTGCCACCATTTTTGATGTACGGATCTCTCAATTTTTTTTCAAGGGAATTGTAATTTTGCACAGTGAATTTATGCTTGTCGAAAATACAAAAAAATCAGGTTGCTTTTTTTAGTGGTGCTTTGG